ATAGTTTAACCATCTTGGTTTATTTCCAGACACTTCAAATTATTCAACCATTTACAAAATTGTGAGTTTGAATTTGAATCAACTTCTTGGTCCCAAGATAACTTAAATTCCCATAGTGCTGAAGTAAAAGTTTCGGCACAAGAGTTACGGAGCAAGCTATTCCTAAAGGGTCGAATATTTTGTGTGTAGTAGCTAACATATCTCTTTTAGACAAAATTTCTGGTAGATTGTAAATGATGTTAGTAATACTAAGGCAAAGGTAATCTCCACATCGTTCCTAAACCATTCCTAATACATTTGTGGTACTAGAGGAATTATCCAACAGATAATTCCTCTAGCACCACAAATGGTTTGGGATTCCCAACCACATAATTCTAGCTTTCTTGTAGCTAAAGTATCTGAAGCAACTTGTATGAACTGTTGCAATTCTAAATCATTCTTCACATTCGCTAAACAATTATCTACATAAAAGCTCTTCTTCAATTGCTCAATAATATCCACTTTATACTTTGAGTTTCCATTTAGTTGTTTCAAAGTGGATTCTAGAAGATGGTGAATTTCAGAAACTAGCAAGAAAGGGCTACTTGTAACTCCAAATACTACCCTACAATGCCTGTAATACTTCAGTTTTCCATCAGTTCTATACCATAAGAATCTTAGATAGTCTTTATCCTTATCTTTAGGGTTGAGACTTATTTGTAAGAATGCTTTTCGTATATCTGCAGAAGCTCCTATTCTGTTCATTCGGAATCTATGAAGAATTGAAGGAATCAGTTCGATAAGGTTCGGTCCTTTTCTAGACAATCATTGAGACTAGGTGATCCTTTTTGTTTGGCTGAGGCATCAAACACTGGCCTGATTCATGTAGTACTGTTTTCTTTTACTACGTGTCGATGTAGTAGATAATGGCATGTTAAATCAATTTCGCTTTTTGGTACTTCTTCTATGACGCCTTCTCATTCCCATTCACTAAAAACTTCTTCATAAGCGTCATAAAGTTTCTCAGCTTTTAGTTGTTTTACTGTAGAATCTATAAAGTTTCTCAGCTTTTAGTTGTTTTACTGTAGAATCTAATCTCTTTACAGCTAAGTCATAGTTATCTTTTAACGGTAGATGGTTATCAAGCCATGGCAAGCTGACTTGAAAACGTCCCTCTTCGTTCACCTTTACAGTAGACAAGAAATGATCTCTTGCCTCTTCTTGAAGTTCCAGTTTATTTTTCTTCTCTGAGGGATCTAGAATTCCAAGTGAATCTAGAGACCATAGATCGGATATCAATATTTCCTTATTCAACATGGATGTGACGAGCAGTGCGGAATTGTCCGAGATCTCACGCATACCATTTTTCCCAAAAAGAGTCCAACCAAGTTTGGTTTCTATAGCAGAAAGGCCTGAAGTAAGCAATTTAAATCCTCCGGTCATCAACTTGCCTGCAATGTCAGCGCCCATAAGTATTTCTATTGGTCCATTATTATTGTTGCATACGGAAATATTGTTCTCTTTAAGCTCTCGAATCCACTCGCTTTTAGCAACTGGTGGTATACTTCCACAAATAATATCTTGGCTAAGAGCTTTGAAGTTACAATGATAAGTTCCATCTGTTTTAAACAAGAATACTGTAAAAACATCAGGGTTTATGACAGTACATGACCCGCCAAATAATGAATGGCTCAATTTTCTTTAGATGTACTCTTAAATTTCATTTCATCTGCAGTGCTTTTTAGAATATAAGATTTTTGTGAAGCTGAATCGATAATAGCACAGGCCTGGCACTTTCTATCTCGCCCTTTCAACATAACCGTTAAAGTTTGCAAAAACACATCATTTGTTCTCGCCAAATTGGCAAGGGTTTCATCTCGTTTAGGTACTGCATCCATATTTTATGTTAACAGGTTAACAGGAACTGGAGATTTTGATTCAGCTTGGATATTTCTACATAAAAGTATGTGGTGTTTCTTCCCTCAAATCACACACGATGTTCATTTTTTACATTTAGCTATTACATGTTTTCTGTCCAAACATAAAAAGCAACTGTGACTATTTAGAACTGCTTTTTGCCTTTCAGACGTCATCTTTCTTGCTTTAAAGCAATCACCAGATGCATGATTTCCAGCACAAAAAATACATCCAGTTGAATTTTGTTCAGATGTTGCTATTAGAGTAGAAGCAGAAGGTGTTTTGGAAAATTACCCACGGTTTTTGAAACCAAAGTGTTAAGCATTCCCAGGCTTAGGTGTCTGATATTTAGTAAAGCACTGAGTAGCTATAGATACTCTCTCTTCACCTTCAATTTCATCGAGCAAAAATGAAAGCAAGCCATGTAAATCCATGCGATGTGTTGATGCATTTTTCTCTTTTTGCTCACTACTTTCAGATTCTCTCTGACTGCGATTAATAACTCGGAACCTTTGCCATGCTCTTTATGTATCAGCAGGCAATGGCGATTCAACTAGAGGATATAACATTGCAGCATATGTATCTCTAGCAACACCCAGAACTTCTAACGCTCTAAGTTTTGATTCTAAGTTATCATAGAGTTTTCGTAATGAAAATTTCTGCTGAGAGTTTTTTTAATAATACTAACGAAAGTAGATCTCTAACATAGACTTCTATAAGAAGGTCTTCTTTCCCAAAACGCGATTGCAGTTGTTGTAAAGCTTTACTATAACTTTCGCCACCGGGCGGAAAGCTTTTGATTAACTCTTCAGCAGATGACCCTTTTTCCATAGACTGCAATAAATATGCAAATTTATCATGATCATCTAAATTGGGATCAGTATCGATCTTTTTAAACTGGCCCCAAAATCCTAACCAGCTTTTAATATTCCCATCAAAAATCGGGAGTTTAAGCTTAGGATAATGAATAGTAGTATTTTGAGTTAAGCTTTCATTAACACAAACAACAGAACGTTTTCCTTTTCAGCTAGAAGCGAAACTAATTTGCTTTCTACCATTCTCCACTTATCAATATAGCATTCCGACTCATCAAACTCATTATTTATCACAGTTTCATCTTTTCAATTTTAATCAATTCTTCTCTATAAGTCTGTTCTATTTCAATCATAGGCTTCGCTTTGTCCTCAATTAATTTAAGTTTCGAAATTTTTCCGTCTAAAGATAAATCATTTTCATTCTTCTCAAAATCATTTAAAGCACTTGTAAACAATCTCCTAAATTGAGATTGTTTGCACTTCAAAACATCCATTATAAATAAACGAAAGAATTCTACTTACAGATAACAGTCCTGTCAGCGGACGCCAAATGTTAAAAAATTCTCACCAAATTTGTTACCTCAAGAAACTATTTATTACTCAGAAATAACTATCTATATCTCTTTAGTTATTTATGACTCTACAATAATTAAATAATTCTTTTACTCATACTCTAAAATGAAAAAAAATCAAAGTTACACTAACTCTCTAAAAAAGAACAACATAGTATATTGCCATTCTCTGAAACATAAACTGTTACAAAACATAGATAATAATATGAATAGATAATGAATTAAATAAAAACCTGTAAAGTAAAGAAAACGATTACATCTGCTTGAAGCTCGTGCAATATTACTCAGAAGCTGCAGTTAGAAAAAAATGTTATAGTCAAAATATTGTTCACCATCTGTTAGAAACATTACACACTAAACAAGGAAAAAATTCGTGCAAATCAGTGTATTAGACTAGAAAAAAATGGTTCCCGAGCGCCACTCGGGAAAATAAAAAAAGTGCCATTTCCAAGTACCCAAACGGCGTTTGGGCAAAACTGGGAAGGCACTGATGCAGTACATATTTTACTCTATATTCAAAGTTTTTGTAATTATTTGTCAGTTGTAGCAACTGAAATCACATAATATTTTCAGAAAATTTATGTATTCTGATCATATAAGTAGAGAGTTTGCATGCTAGCATATATTAATAGTGTAGTTTTCAGATGACAAGGTGCTATAGTTGAAAATAGATTTTTCAATTTTGAAAGAAATAAAATTTTGAAAATGAAAATTCGACTTTAAAATGACTTTAAAATTCATTTGATTAAATTGCATACTCGTAGTCCTTTGAAAATAGATGTCTTATGCAAGAAAATTTGGTAAGTGATCTGGGAAAAACTTGTGTACACCTTTTGAAATTTATTTTAGAACTTTAAAAAGTCAGACATCTTAGAACAGAAAACTTCTTACACTGATTCTACTACATCTATACTAGAAGTGATTTTGATGGTACCTACTGCTGCATTTAAATTATATTTACTAACAGATTATGTAGTAATTAATAAGTAATCAAAGTTATCTAGAAATAAATTTTTAGGATAATTTAGATTAGGGCTATATGCACTTACATTTTAAAAATATTTATGCTATAAAAATTACTAAAATTAATTCTTAGTAATGTTTCAAGTCTAACAATAAATGCATTTGCATTATTTTTAACTCCCTTCTAAATAGACAATTTCACTGCAGTGATTGCTGTTAATCCTGTTAGGCACTTTAAAGCTTTCTATTTGGTTGTCATCATTTTTCCGTTTTATTTTATTATTATAATTTACTGTAAGAAAATAAAGTATATAAGCTAATTGAACATAATTTTTTTTTTTTTTTTTTTTTTTTTTTCTGAAACTGTTTTTAATGCAATGATAACTGATGTTTTCTTTCAAATTTGTTTTGCTGATTAACAGATAAAATTTGAATTCTGTTTATGAGATTAATGCTTCTACTTCAATCAGATTCTCATATTTTTACACAAATTTAATTTCTTAAATGTATTCACTGTTACATAAGATATAAAGTATTTAAATTAAAATAGGATCCTAAAGGTATTGCAGAATTTAATTTAATTTTTTCAAAAATATTGTAAACAGTGTTCTTACATTACTATTGAATTGCTGTCATATTTTAATAATCCAGATTTTGTAATTTCTTTTATGTTTGCAGTTTTATAATGTTAAAATTTAAGGTTTTCGTAGTTGTTCTGATGTTTAATTAAATATATGAACATATGCATTTTTAGGAATGAAATTAATATGGAAAATGGAACAGATGAATGTAAGCCTCAGGCGACAAATTTTCAAAAGCTTCTTCTTGTTTGGCCAAGGTACATTTATTTATCTAAATTATTATATTATCTTCTTAATCAAAATTTCCATTTTTTCCATTAGTAAAGTTCAAAATGTGCCTTAGTGACTTAACTACAGCTGTGTATACTACTTAAAAATATGTTTTTTTTTTTTTTTTTTTTTTTTTTTTTTTACTGACTGCTTCTATTTTATTCAGCCAGATTTTCATTGAAATTTTTTCTGGAAATCAAATTTGGTTGATAGTTCTTGGCAAAAGTAGAGTGTGCTATACTTATTTGATATATTATCATTTATTCAATGTATATTTGTGAGTCAACATGTTATTTTGTGTAGAAAGTGTATTGCTAATTACAGTTTCGTAACCTGGCATACTTGCACCTCAGTTAGTAATTTTCATCTGTGCTTTTTTTAGATTAAAGTTGCTTTGTGTGCATACTTTCTTTTGTTGCTATTTGTAGATTTTATTATTATTAAATTTACATCAGTTTGAGGTGCTGAACTTGGAATAAGTGGAAAAGAGATAATGTTTATTATTAAATTGAAATAAAAGAGTTGGAATATTTTGATAATAGAGAGCATGTGGATTGGTTGTGTAATGAATTGAATGTTGAAAGAAAATATAGCAAATAGTAGAAAAACTAGAAATCTTTTAAGATTTATTAAGCAAGTAACTGTCAAAAAGTATACATTCTAAAGAATCCTCATAAAAAAAAACTGATTGTGCATTAATATACATATAAAAAATTAATAGGTATTATCACAACCAACTTGGTAGAAGTTGCCAAACTGTGGCAACCATGTGCATAACAATTCTTCACGTAACCATATCGATAAATGTAAGTTTGAATAAGCAAGGTCGCTATTTTTGTACTTACTGTGTAACAGCTTTAAATAGTATTAAAATCTTGTAGTTTAAAAAATTTAAATAGATGAACATTAAGGTATATGGCAATATTTGAAACCAGACTCGAGTGCCACGTGCGACTCTCGCACGAAGAATGTAATTTTTTTTTAAACGTTAGAATATGTTTTCTCTTCTTGTTTGTATGTCACCATTTTTTTTTAGTGTTAAATAAAAGTTATTGCTATGTTCCATCATTGGAATTGCTTCATTTCGCCAAAGAAGTATTACAGTCAAGACTGTATTGCCATTCACAAATACCTTAATGTTTATCTATTTAAATTATTTAAACTACAAGATTTTAATAATATTTAAAGCTGTTACAACCTCTCCCAAATAATTAAGACTGTAATACTTCTTTGGCGATATGAAACAACTTCAATGATGGAACACAGTAATAACTTTTATTTAACACTAAAAAAAATGGCGACATACAAACAAGACGAGAAAACATATTATAACATTTAAAAATAAATTACATTCTTCGTGCGAGAGTCGCACGTGGCACTCGAGTCTGGTTTCAAATATTGCCATTCACAAATCTATTTAAATTATTTAAACTACAAGATTTGAATACTATTTAAAGCTGTTACAACCTGTAATACTTCTTTGGCAATATGAAGCAACTCCAATGATGGAACACAGAAAAAACTTTATTTAGCACTCAAAATGGCGACATACAAACAAGAAAAAGAAACATATTCTAACATTTTAAAATAAATTACATTCTTCGTGCGAGAGTCGCACGTGGCACTCGAGTCTGGTTTCAAATATTGCCATTCACAAATACCTTAATGTTCATCTATTTAAATTATTTAAACTACAAGATTTTAATACTATTTAAAGCTGTTACAACCTCCTCCTGTTTACCATTGGCTGAGATCGAACTAAATTGCGATCTTGGGCGAGTAATAACTAAGGCTGCCATTATTAGAAATGAACTCGACAAGGGAAGGTATTTATTAGGCAATCGAACTTTTGCACTGTTGAATAAACAAAGAAAGGAACCTGATAGTCATCCTCACCTTAATGCCGTCTCTACTAGAGCTCAAAGGAAAAGAAAAATAGCAGAAGAGAAGATCTTGGAACCGATGAAGGAAGAAAATAAAGCATCCTGAGATGTCTTTAAAGAAGAAGTTAAATCACCGGAATTAGGCATGGAAGACGTTCACGAAAAATTAGAAAACGATAAAGAAATTAATATTGAGAATAATTTTGCAATGCAGCGTTATCATCATCTTTCGGCTTTTGATTTAATGTGAAAGCCGCTACTAATAGACGAAAAAAACAATTGTCAAAAGCAAATGACAATTGAATATTATCCGAAAGGCACAGATGAACTAAGGAAAGGCTTTGCTGTGAATTATAGCCGAGGAACTGGTCCACCATGGAAGAGATCTAGGCGCTGTCAAGAAAAAAAGGAAGACTAATTTGATCATTTTCCATCTTTTTCTACTTAAATGTGGTATAAAAATATTTGTTTAAAACTTAAAAATTTTGGCCTGAAGTTTGGAAACTTGTGAGAGAAGTTACCTTTTCTCTTTCAGCAAATGAGCAAGCTGAGGTTGTAACAGCTTTAAATAGTATTAAAATCTTGTAGTTTAAATAATTTAAATAGATGAACATTAAGGTATTTGTGAATGGCAATATTTGAAACCAGACTCGAGTGCCACGTGCGACTCTCACACGAAAAATGTAATTTATTTTTAAATGTTAGAATATGTTTTTTTTTTTTTCTTGTTTGTATGTCGCCATTTTAAGTACTAAATAAAGTTTTTTTCTGTGTTCCCTCATTGGGGTTGCTTCATATTGCCAAAGAAGTATTACAGTCTTAATTACATACCGACCGAGATCGAATAATCGTGCGTATTTTTATTTTATTAGTTCATCACTGAACATAATATTAGTGATACCAGATTATTACTTCCTGTTCATATAGAATTGCTTTATTTTATTAGTTCATCACTGAACGCAATATTAGTGATACCAGATTATTACTTCCTGTTAATAATAAATTGTCTTATTTTATTACCATATTTGATATTATATTTAATATTCATTTTAGTTGTACAGACGGTAGATATATATATTGCTCTATGTTATTATTCTTATTTTAATCACAATTAATGTGGTAGAGAGAATGAACTTCATATAATTTAAATATTTCATTTTTGAGGTATACGTACTTAACAAAGTGCATTTAATTTTGTGATTCCTGACTGCATTAATTAATTAAAGTAATTGAATTGAGCTATTTTGAGGAAATATAAAGAACACAGTGTTCGTTAATTTTAAACATAGAAACAATGTCTTACTTAGGAAGAGCACGTAAGGAAGATTTGCAAAATCTCGCCGGTGCCTCCAAAATAATTAAGACTGTAATACTTCTTTGGCGAAATGAAGCAACTTCAATGATGGAACACAGCAATAGCTTTTATTTAACACTAAAAAAAATGGCGACATATAAACAAGAAAAGAAAACATATTCTAACATTTAAAAAAAAATTACATTTCTCGTGCGAGAGTTGCACGTGGCACTCGAGTCTGGTTTCAAATATTGCCATTCACAAATACATCTATTTAAATTATTTAAATTACAAGATTTTAATACTATTTAAAGCTGTTACAATCGTTTTCATTATATTAGAAGTGTTGAAAGCAAACTGTGGTATTTTTGGTTTTCAGCTGAATTTTGAAATATGCATTCATGTGATTTGTCCACAAATGGAGAAAATTCTGTGAAATTTTTGCTGGAATATAATATTGTTACCAATATTGTACATAGATAGATGATCTTAGTGCAGTTATATGTGAAATTGTTGTATTTTTTGTGTAATGTAATATGAAAAATTGAAAGAGAGAAGCTATGCCTAAAAGTAAGAATACAAGGGCAAGTCTGTTTAACATTGAATAAACTGGTATCTCTGTAATTTAGAGAGGTATCTCCAAGCTAGCAAGGATTCTGTCTTCAAATTGTGCAAGAAAGTGCACCAAACTTGGTGACATTTTGGTCCATTTTTTGTATTACTATAATAGGTAGTGTAATTGAATAAATGTAATTTATCACTATTTTAGCTGTAACCGTTAGTCAAACCTCATACTGCCTTTCAGTAATTTCAAAAAGCAGAAAATACTAGAAATATTTTGGCAGCTGGGTGAAAATTAGATTAGTAAGATACCATTTGTAAGTAGTTTTATAAACTGTTTCTGGGATAAATACTGAACTAAAATTAAAATATTTACATAATAACAGGCATGATATGAAATAAATAACTTTCTTCACTTTGAAACTACTATTCTTTTCTTCAGAAAATTGCCAAATTGTGCCAAGATGGTTGTGATAATACCAAAGTACCAAATAATATAATCCATTTGCTGTGTATTGTTTCTATGAAAAAGAAACATGACTTTGCATTAAATTGTAATTGCTGTTTTTTTAAGTCCATAAATGATTAATAAACATTTATTAATTGGAAATTGAAGATAAGTTTTTTAAAACAGGAAACTAAACAATGCACTGAAAGCTGCAGTCAGTTTAGTGGTAAATAGGAAAAATTATAATTTTTAAAATCTAGTCTTAATTTTAAATTTCATATTCCATTGAAATTCTCAAGACATCCATTCTCTAATGAAAATATCACAAGATGTGTAAAAGCTCCATTTCTTTTCTTTTATCTCCTTTTGATCTTTTAAATTGTATCTCATTTTTTTCAGTTCTTTGCATAGTTATTTTGTCTCTAAAGTTTTTTTTTGTTTTCGTCTTTGTATTTTATTCTTTCTATATCACTACAATATGATTTTTCATAATATAGATATGGTAGATAAATAGGTAGACACATACACACAATACTTTTGTTTATTGATTTATGATCTATAAATGTTAATTTGTATCTTGGGATTAACTAGTCACTTTTTTATCCACCAGAAGATCAGGTTCCATAGAGGCTGATTAATGAGGAGTGTACTGTGTTATTAAAATATATCAGTGTTTGCCAAATATTCATAAAGTGTTGAGTACATTTCATTCATAATAGAAAACTAAGAAAGAAATCCACTCATCTAGACTCTTTTCAGTAAAAAATTTAAAATAAAAGTCTTATAATCTGTCAATTATTAATCATAGTTTCTTTATAGTGAAAAACATAAATTTAAACTTTTGTGTGATAGAATATATATATTAATTATAAATACAATATTATGTCCTACTGTGATTTTAATTTTTAGCAATTTATGTTATTGAGTATGTAAAAAGCAGTTGGTTCATATTGCAAATTTAAAAAACTTTTTTTCAAGTATTTATTTAATTTTAACTGTTTTAGCTCTGAAGATTGCCCTTTTATTTTTACTTGGAGTCAACAAGGTGCTTTTGTATTTGATCTGAAAAAGGCAGAAGTTGTTCTTTGGAATGAAGATCTTAAAGGTTTTGTTTGTCTTTTATATGTTTTTATGTTTTGATCATTTTGAATAATTTATTTTATTTTTTCCAATTGAAGATTTTTTTTATTGCTTGAAAGTCAGGTATCATTATTTTAAATTTTATTTAGAATAACTGTATATTTATATCTCCTTGTAACAAAAAAAAAAATCTGTTTGTCTTATCAATAATTCACTAATAAGGAGGTCTTGTGAGTTCACATGATATTGTTCAAACTTTCTCTTAGCAAATATTTTACTCTCTCCTCTTCTGCCTCCCCCCAAAAAAATGTTAATTTACTATTTCCTGGGTTTTTCTAAATTACTGTTGCTCTATTCATGATTTAATACTCCCTCAAAAGAAAATTAATATTTTCTACAAATAAAAATATATATCACTTTTACAAAATTCCTTTCATATCTTTTTAAGTTTTTTTGTCAGGAGTATGATTGCTCAACTCAGAATTTTTTGTGTTTAATTTACATGTCAGATAAATTTGCTATTCGGAATTTCTGTATTAAGTACTTTTCGGGTAATTTTTGTCTTTTTTAATCGTTTAACTATGTCTAATACATATATATTCCATTTTACCCTTGTGTAGCTAAAAGTGCCAGTATATTAAAATCATATGTGTTTAAAATGGTATTTTTACATTTGTGCAAAGAGAGGTTACTATTTTTAGAATTGATAAAGGAAATTTACGTTGCTAATTTAATCTTTTACATATTCTTTATTTTTCTTACATATTCCCCCCTCCCCTTCAAGAAGAAAAAGGCATAGCGACAGAGAAGCCTTTTTAAAGAAAAAGCGTTAAATTACTTGCAAATGGGGGGGGGACATAAATCATAAAATTTTGATCCCATGGAGTATAATTTATAAATATCATTTTTTTAAATAAATTTTAATTTTTAGAGTCCTAATGAATTTTTTAGCATTTTGTTTGATAGTTCACATAATCATAATTCTTCAGGGAAGGTCCTTATCACAGAGTATCACAAAATAAACTTTTACATAATCATTACTTATAATTAAATGTAACGCACATAAATATTTATGATACTAATTTCCATATTGATAAATTATATTTTAATACCATAAATATAATAGGAGTAACAGTTTCAGAAATTATGGTTTCACCGTTATTATGTTTCACTTACAATTCCTGATTTTAACAAACTGGAAGGCCTCGCATCAAATTTTAGTTGAAAATAATTGCTAGATCCAAATCTTTACAAAATGATCCTTTAAAGGATTTATTTATAAATAAATTTTAAAATTTTGCAACGAAATTATATTCAATCCTTGTTTACATAAATACTAAAGTTTGCACACTGTATATTAAATTTATATGTGCTTTCTTTACTTTTCTGCACTGCCTGGAAACAAAATTAAATATTTTAATTTATAAAATAATGAATTTTTTAAGTCTTAGTGATTAAACTATAAGCATTTTAAATAGTTTAAAATGAATGTGTGTTGTATAAATGTATCCAGACCCTGTTTATCTTTTGACACAGTTTTAGCTATCTGCCTAATCTAATAATTTCTTTCATCTTTCACTGCAAATTTAAGTTCACACCTTTCTAAAATTAAAGGCAGATAGGTTTTAAAATGTGTCTGTTTTTAAGAGGTTACTATTTTTAGAATTGAGAAAGAAAATTTACATTGCTAATTTAATCTTTTACATATTCTTTATTTTTCTTACATATATATACACCATGAAAATGTGCACAGATTTTATGTAAAATGTGCTATAAACAGAGTAGTAGATTTAATAAGAAAATAGTTGATTAACATAATGTTTTTGCCCCAAATGCCTATTAATACACAGTAAAAAGTGCAGGAGATTTATCTGGATTTTTTCAGAAATTATACCTATATAAGAAGTAAAAAAAATAGGGAAAATTAATGTAAATGCCTACGAAAAATATATTTGTTTGCTATAAGTAAAAGAAATTGTTCAGATTTACACTAATTTTCTCTAAAAATATACCAAGTAGAAAAATGGGAAGATTTTGCATATATGCAATGAATATATGTAAATCCGATAGATATATGTAAATTTACATATACATAAAAGCTACAAATAAAGTTCTATCATGCACATGAGTATACCTGTTTTATGTATAACTTACATATATTGTAATGTAAAAATGTATGTAAATATCTACTATTTTTTTCCGGACATGTGATATTTTTATGTACAAGTTGTATGTATTTTATGCTAAGGGCATTCATAATTTGCACATATTTTTTGCGTGCAATTTAAAAATGTGTGCTGTTTGGCTAAGGCTTAACTAATGTCCACTATACACTGTTGATGAGGTATCATGAGACTAGCAACTAAAGGCATGTTATTCCTCTAAATTTTGTCTTGCATCTGTCACATGCTGCAAACATCTGAATTGTACTAGTTTAGTTATTTATTGTACTCACATCTGTTTCCCAAATATAGTTAGGTCCTTATCTGAGTCCTAAATAAGTAAATACCTGCATGTATTTAAGGCTTATCTGAATAACAAATTATTTATTCTTAATTCAAACAGCACTAAATCTAATCTTTTGGTCTATGAATATCATTTACAAAATCTATTGTTTGTACATTTCTCTTTGTAACACTCTCAATACTTCACAACACTGTTGGCTGAAGTCTGCAATCTTCGGCAAGCATAATGTCAATATAAAAGGTTGGTATTCAGTTATTAATATTTTGTAAATAAATTAGTTAAGACATTGTTGCGTGAGACATTTCTCAAGCTGCCATGAGCTGATAGTCATAGAATGTTGAAATCAAAAAATAATTCAGAAAGCTTGGCATCAGGGATATAAGTTATTCAGTAAATGTAAAATCAGTGATGAACTTTGGTAGAATATGTTTTTGACATGCATACTAACCAAAAATGTGGGTATGAAGCCAAATTATTGATCAAGTAGTTTTAAGCTAATAAATAATTGTATTTCTTCAACGTGGAAGTATTTTATTTAGTACCAAAATGAAATTAAGAATCAGGACCCTACACATACATGCTTATGAAAAAGTTTGTACTGTGCATGCATAAAGCATTAATATATGCTAAATTGAGATGGTTACTCTTGGAATCTATTTCTTTCTGTTTTTTCTTCAAAAAATTTCTAAAGAAAACTCTGCTGATAATCTGAAGGTTCACATATTGGATATCTTTATTTCAGACTTCACACTGTATAAATGAACAAAAAAAAATTATGTTTATGTTGGCAATATATGAAAATATTGTTTGCAGTTAATTCTGTAGTATTATTGTGCCTTTGTTTCTTGTATTTGCCTGTATGTTTTTCAAATATTTTATTTATTTATTTATTTTAATATTTCATTATGAAAAAAAAATATTTCTTTGTCGTAAATGATGAATTTTAATTTATTCATGCATTCATTTTTAGCTGAAGACTCTATGATGCAGGATTTCTTTTAATAGGATTATTGTAAACAATTTTTTATTGATGAGCAAAATTTAAGATTGTACTGCATTGGGAAAAATCTAGCAATATATGTGGAATCACTACTTATTTAGCCTACTACTTATGTTGGATCTAAGGTTAATTGAAATGACTTCTGGGAGAGTATAATAATTTTAATGTCTAAAATTATCATATTTTGTGTTTGAACAGCTTTTGCCGTCCTAGCGAAATTGTGATGAATTAGAAGTCAAGAACTTCATATGTGCAGTCCCCTCACAGTCACAATCGTTCAACTGTTACAAGTTGTGAGATGGCATACTCTAACATTGCAGGAACAATAACTTGTTCAGTAACTTCTCCACTTAGTATTACAAAAGTCATAATTTCACTGCCTGTGTCAAAAGATTTTAGTGTGTGTCTTAAAAGGCCTCTCAAAGTCACAGGGCCGACTGGCCAATAATTCTATAGCTCCTCTGATACCGCATGCAACTATAACAAATCATACGATGTAAAGTACAACCAAACAATTAAAAGGACATGACTAATTCTAATGACTGTTTCCGTCAGAGCAAGATATTGGAATGCTCTGCAACTCTCAATTACAGATTCTTGCCACTAGCAGAATCCTCATGTAATGACGAGTACTTATGTTTCTTATGCATTTAGTATTAATTGTCAATTGTTGTTATTGTATTGCTAAAAGAGCTTCTCATAGTTTTATAATATATTTTAAATTCTATAACTTTAAAACCTAACAAATCCTATATGAAGTTGCTGCATTAGCGCAGGCACCATTACCATTAAAATAAAGCATAGGTTTACATTTATGCTCATAATTTAGACAATTTTTATTGTCCTTAGAGTAAGGATTTTTATATAATTCATGCTTAAATGATAGCAAAATTATTACAGTTTCATTAATTTCTTTTTATAGGTATAAAAGATGCTAGATGCCAACGAGGAGATATATATATACATTTCTTGGATGGGAGATTTGGAAAATATACACTAACAACAGTTGAACAAGGAATTTGTCGATTGTATCAGCAAGGACTTGCGATACATGGGGCACAATTACTCTTACTTAAGAAAGCATCTTTGTGTTCATCCAGACTAAATCTTCATGTTCCTGCTTCATTTATAATTGATATGCTCCAAAAAACTTCTGAAATGGGAAAATCTTATTTATTTTCTGGTCTTACTTCTGTGTTAAATAACCTCGGTCTTAGTCCGGATAAGCTTTCTCAGTCCAGTCGCTCAAGTTCAGCAATGTCTGAACCAGTACGACTTAATTCTGGCATATATGTGATAAACAAATTGATGAGAGATGCAGATGATGATGCACAATCAACTGTCTGCCTCAGTAGATGGCGATCAGCTTCTCCTGTTTTTAGACATGGCAGTCGGTCCCCTCATTCCAGTCCTTCAAGATCTAGTGACCGTGCTTCCTACAGTTCCAAAAGCCAAAGATCATCTGCTACAGTAAAAGATTCAAGTGCCAAAGTCCGAGCATCAAGTGTCATTAGAACACCTGATAGCACAGATTCTGGTACTTCTGGTCGTGTGTCAGAAATGAGTGACGAAACTCAGAGTAGTCCTTCCAGCCGAGATATTCATAGTAAAGAAACTTGGCATTCCTGGAATCAACTACAAAGTAATCAAAATGAAAATGAATTGAAGAATGCTCAAGATTTTAATATAAATGGGAAAAGTTCATTATTGAGCAATGCAAATAATGCGCTGAACAATGGTAAGCCTAAGTCTGATCCTGTAAATGGCTGTTTAGATCACAGTAATGGTGATGAACTGAATAATAATGGGTCAAGCATGACTCCTAGTATAAGTCTTAATTTGCAAGAGCTGTCCAAGCATGGAAATGCTGGAGAAAAAAGAGTTTCTTTTCAAAGTAAAGTTTCTACTAGCTCTGATGAAAGTTATTCTTTACCAAAAATCACTACTGATACTGTTAATGGATTGGACACTAATGAAGATGTTTTTTCCCCTCAGTATGAATGTCCTGATAGCTTGTATGATGAGTATAGGTATGCAGGCATGGCATTATATGGCTCGATGATGATGATGCCCAATCTTGATATGTCCATTTTGTTTGGTACTGATGCAGATTTCCAAAATATAAAAGAAAGGTTAGTGAGTAATTTTACTTTTTCTCTAAACACTGCTCTTGTGTAGATTGTTTGAATCTTTTGTTTTAGTTAAACTGATTTATAAATTGATCTGAAAAGATAAAGAGATTTTTAAATTTTGTGTAATTAAACAAATAAATGTGGGTGTAAGTAAAAAGAAAGTGCATTGGCAATTATTAGCCCAGAAGGGCTATTAATTTCGTTTTGGCATTTTGCGTGGAAAACTTTAAATGCCCATTTCAGTTTTCAAATGTTACCATCAAATATTATTACCCTGAGATATAATAAAAGAAATTAAATAATGAAGAATCTGCATAAATGTATGTATGTTTCTCACATTGTAATAAAACAACGGTACCCAGAGCCATCAAATTTTGAATAATGTAGTCTTTCACCGAATATCGGCATCTGGAAGCCCTAATTTGTAATTAAAAATTTGTCTTGTTATCGATTTCATATTTTGTAACACTTTTTGTAACAAACTCAATGATTTCAAAATGAGCAATGGCAATATTGTATTGTGTGTTGGGGGAGGGAATTATCTCCAGTGCACGAGTCTGTTTTAGACCGACTGAACGGAAGTTTTAAAGATATGCTCATTTTAAAATTATTTTGTGATATTGCTGTTGAATTGAATTTTATGGTTTAAGTGTAAAAAATGTGATATTTAATAAATAAGAATAACCTACAAAACATAAAAAAAAAAGCCCCTTTGGGCGTAATGTAAAATCTGAAAGCTTTCTGTTTATTTTTATTACATCAAAATTCTTGATGCAACATTTTCTGGGATTAAAAGTTCTTATATGCTCAGTTTTATATATTTTTCTTAAATAAGAGTAATTTTATTATAATAAATTATTATTTATATATATAGAGAGAGAGAAGCTCACCATCTCTTTTCAGGGCTGCGTATGATAGCTTTATTTATAATCATAAACATGAAATAAGTTCTCAGATGGTAGTTCTTTAATTAAATCTTGGTGCCTTAAAAGTATGAAAATTTTTTTGTATTATTAATCAATGATAATACAATTTGAAATATACATTAAAAATGCCACCTTGTTAACCTTGTTAACAATAATTTATCATTTTCCTATGTTACCATTTTATTATTTTTCTTTTGATGCAGGAGAATGTATCATTTTAAGTGCAAAGTGTTATTAACTCAGACTCTTACTCTAGGAATAGTGTAAAACTTTCAGTATAATGATAAAATCATTATTTTTGCAACTATAGCTTCCTTGTGTAGCCAAATTTAAAGTAATGTAGCACATAAATAAATAATTTTATAGGTAGTTTTTGATATAACCCTCAATGTATTATAAACTTAACAATGAAATTTCAGCTGAGCATCAAAGGCTGTTTCATACGTTTCCTGATATTTTCTTTACTTCTGGCTACATTTTTTTGAAAAATTTATATTTTTAACACAAAAGGATGTTAGTCTAAAGTGACCACATGTTCTGATTTTGACGGGACAGTCCCGCTTTTTCGAGTATTGTCCCGCCGATTTTTAAAAATGTTCCACTTTTTTAGAAAACATCTGCATTTCTTATTTTAAATGTACTGTAAAAGTATATTACCTATTATTTATTATAGTAAATATAAAGAAATAAAAAATACATAAATAAAAAAACACATAAAATGCATGCGGAGTACACTAAATTAGGCGATGTAACGAGTTAGATTTACTCGGTGGTGTTCAATCATTGTCGTTACGTCTCGTCAAGGAATATGTATTGTTAACGGAGGATTAGCTGAAGGGCTATTTGATTTCCACACCATAAACCACAATCAAAGTTTCAGATCAATTGACTGTACGTCGTAAATGATCAAAACATTGTACGACAAAAAATTTGCATGTGCAAGAACAAAAACCGAAGCAATTATTTGTAATGTTTTTTTACTATATTCATTTCTACAATTGCAGAAAGAATTAGATTAAATGCAATATCCATTTATTATGATGGAACCAACCACAAAGATTTTAAATTATTTCCTACAATTGTTAGACTTTTTGATCCAGAAACAGGAATTAAAATTAGAATATTAGATTTTATTTCATTGCCGGGTGAAACTTCAGAAATAATTTTTGATTCAATAAGTACTATTTTAAAAGATAATAATTTGAACAATAAAATTATTTCCTATTGTGAGGATAACACTAATGCAAATTTTGGTAAAAAAAGCTAGAAGAGGCATCAATAATGTTTTTACGAAACTTAATGAACATTTGAACCAAAAAATTATTAGAGTAGCTTGTCCAGTGCACATTCTACACAGTACTATTCAGACAGCATCTGAATTACTTCCAGTGGATCTTGAAAATATTGCAAAAATTTATTTGTATTTTTATATATATATACTGTGCATGTTGAAAGTTTAAAGGATTTTTGTGAAAGCGTAGAAACTGAATATAAAAGAATTGGGTGACATTAAAAAAGGAGATTTTATGGGAATATGTGAAAAAATCTTTTTAATATAGTAGTAACCATTTTCCGAAAAATAATATTTGCGAAAATGATCTTTTTGATGAGGTATCATTGGTAAAAAGATATGTTACTGAAGAAAAAAATTAAATGTTGGTTGTCTGCAAATGTGAAAACAGATAAAAAATGGACGGAGTTATTCCTTCATTTTAAACAGAATAATATTCCTTATAAAAATATTTTGAAAAATTTTAGAACCCGCGCTCTCCCTTTCAGGAACAAATGCAGCAACAGAACGTGTTTTTTCTAGTATCAATAAAATATGGACAATTCAAAAAAACGCAGTTGAACATTAAAACTTTAAAATCTGTATTAAGGGTAAAATATAATTTGGCCAATTCATGCGAGAAATTTCACGTCATTTCAATAAGTGATTCGAATCTGTTGCAATGTATTCACTCAGATAAAAAGTTAACTGTGAAAGAAAATCATATTTTTTTAAGTAAAATTTTTAATTAATTAAACAGTACTCAAATTATAGTTTTTTACAAATATTTTTATAGCTACCAATAGTTAACAGTAAATATATGTTTATATATTTCTAGACAAGTATATGAGCGTATACAGTTAAATATATTTTTTTTGAATTATTGGTCTGCTATCATAACTAAATTACAATTTTCATTTCATTCCATTTGTCTCGCTTTGTCTCAATGAAAATGTGATCGCTTTATGTTCTCAGAATGGCTATTATTCTTGAAACAGCATTTTGCATTTAATCGCTAAAAGCATTGAATCACTTTTTTAATTTTTGCCGCCAAATATTATCCCCCTATATTATATTTAAAGAAATTAAATAATGAAGAATGTGCATGAATGTATGTGTATTTCTCATACTTTGAAAGAAAAAAAAACTTTACCTAGAGCCATCAAATTTTGAATAGCTCAGAACTACACCCGAATATGGACACCTTGAAACCCAAATTTTGAATTTATTATCTATTTCATACTTTGAAAACATAAAAAAATTTTTATTTAAAAACTCAGTGTTTTCAAAGCAAGCAGTGGCGACACTGTATGGAATAAAGCATTTTTATCTGCAGCACATGAGACTTTCTGTTGGAGAGATATGCTATTCTTAAATATTTTTTGTCCAAAGGGGCTGGGAAAGATATGCTATTTTTAAATATTTTTGTCCAAAAGGGTGTTAGCTCATATGATCTTGAAATGTGTTTGTGTGTGTTAATGAAAAACACGTTTCTTTGGGTATGATATAAAACCTGAAGGCTTTCAGATTTCTCCCCCCCCTTTTTTTTTACTTTGGACTTGTGTCATTATCATTTAGCATACCCCTGCAGGAAATAATCATTAGCAGCAGCATAAAATGAAGATGATATCTATTTTTGAGATAGTAGGTGATTAGTATTTCTCAAATTAAAGCCATTATATTCATTCACTTAACTATAAGAGTCTTGATGGATTATGTAGCTTATGCCTGGGTAAAATATGTTGGCTTCTTTGATTATATGAAACAAAAGTCTTTGAGAGTATCATTTCCTCTATTTCCTTTGGTTTTCAAAATGAGGTTTATGATTTGTGATGATCTTCTGTATAACACCAGATTACCAGCTTGCACTTTTCAAAATGGCTGCATCTTTAAGACTGTATGATCTCTATGTTCAGTACTTTGCCAAATAGCATCAGATACAGGAAATTTTTCACCATTGGCTATGGTCCAGATGTTGCGTGTATCATTGCATTCTATAATACATAGTTGAATGCTTTTTTTACTTTTTAGTGGCTGCTTCTGCTCTTAGTTGATGACAGATTGTTAAAATTTATGATTCCAATTTTTTTATGTATCAGTGTATACTTGATTTATTGCCAAATGTTGTGTCAATGATTTTTCCTCCCCAAGGTAAGAGATTCCACAGGACATCCCTTTTGAAGCAGATAACTTTGCATGCTTTGCTGCAAAATATATTCATTTCTACAAATATTGTTATTTGTGGCTCGTCTTTCAAGGATACATATATATTTTACAGCATTCTCAGAAATTCCGTTGTATGTCTCAAGTACAAATCCTTGATTCATGCTTCCAGATGCTACATGTAGAAAGACATAAGATGAAAATGTATAGATGTGTAATATTGAAGTATGATAAAAAGCTATTTGTATTTTGAGAGAACAAGGTACAGATATTAATTCATTACAAATGTTTTGAAGTGGTAATAGCAGATAAATATTGTACTTTAAGGTCAAATTAGATATATGTTTTCTGTGTAAAAGTGTGACACATGAAAATTAAGAAATGAATAAATTGTATTAACATATTTCTGCATATAGTCTATATCTAGAAAATGGCTATTGTTTATTGTTTTAAGAAGGGCATATTAGGGAAAAACACATAGTCTTAAATTTAGGCTAAAATGGTATATTGAATGTTTGCTAAACACCTCAAAGAGATGTTCATTATTTTCAAAAAATCCTGGCATGTCCTGACAAAATAAAACATATTGCCATTGAAGAAAATATTTTTGCAGGCTTCATGCGCACACAATCAGACAAAAGAAATGAACAACTACATTTTCTTTTTTTAATACTTATTCAGTATTAATTTATAATGAAATAATATTATGGCAGAGGTTTTTCCACCATTTGCTTTGCCATTTGAACAGCTTATTTTAGATGTAAGATTTTGTATTCTATTTCTTAAATTTCTGGGGAATAATTCTTAAACTAGCAGGCCTGATGTAAATAGTTAACTCAAAATAATTGTGTTGTTATTGTGACTAATCTTGCTTGTCTGATATCAGAACAAGCCCATGAAATTCATTATGGCAAGGAGGCAAGATTGCCCCTGTTATTGGCAAGAGCTTTGCGCACCATACAGGTGATAGTATGACTTTGCTCAGTTCTACTCCTAATTTTGAAGGAGAACACCCTGGGGGGACAGGTCCAAGGATCTCCCTCCCCTCTTCCAATACCGCAATCTCTCGAGAGTACTTTAAGCTCACTGCCTATTTTGAGTGCCTCCACGTCATGAAGACACTATACATTTACAAAGATGCATGCCTTCTCCAAGATTCAAACCCCGGCTTTTCAATATGGCAGTCAGAGTATCAAACCGTTATCCCATTTGAGCAGCAAAGTAAAATTGTTTCACATGTAAAACTGAAATCTGCCTACCAATATCAGATTGCATCTTCTTTTTAATCATGTAGTTTTTATATGTTTTAAATAGTTTTTAAAAATTTTTGTTCTAACCTCTTCTAAGCGTTGAACTGTAATCTAAAGTATTTAAATAGGTATTTTGTTAAAAAATGCACTTCTTTTGATTTAATAAAAATGAATGTATTTATTTAGCCATGCTGCAGATAGTATAAAAGTATGGATTATGTTTAAGGCAAATTCCCTTTTTTCTTATTTTATGCACAGTTTATGTATAATAAGTTATTATGTATGTAAGTTTTTTATTCAGCAGTAAAACATTCCTGTTCTGTGAAATTATAATATAGTGATTAAGGACCAAATGCTGGAAACATTCAAGATTTTTTATTTTGTTTTTGTACTCTGGTTTGTAGGTATTGTAGTATATATTATTATTGCAAGAAAATATCTTTTTACTTATTTATTTTGCAGTCTTGCTAACAAATTAACAAGTGGGAAAAATATAATAATGAAAAATCTTCGTGGACTAGAGCAACGTATTTTGCAAGATGCAAAGCCTGATCTTTTAGATGTGAAAACTCAGCATCATGAAAATACACAGCCTACCTCTCCCGTATCACATTCTGGTATGTTTTAAAGTTGTTTAATTTAGTTGTTTAGCAGGTGCATGTATAATATCAAGTCACATTATAATGTTCATTATTGATTATTTTATTATGTTTTAAAGTGTTTGAACGTTATTTCTTACCAAAATTCTCTTTTTGATCACTAATTAAATTTTACCATGTGTATCTTAGGATGTGCTTATTTAATAAAAGTGGGTGGAAAAAATAATTTTAAGTCATCATTTTTAATTTCAATAGTAAATTTCATTTGTTGTAATTTTTCATTTATATATACAGTACAAAGTCTGAGATCCAAACATCCAATATCTGGAATAATCTAAAATCCAGACCTCAAAACCTCCAACAACTTTTTTTTTAATGCTTTATGCATGCACATTTGATTCCCCCCCCCCCAGAGAAAAAAAAAAAAACTTTTGGGGAGTCCCGATTCTTATTATCCCTTCGCAACTAAATAAATACCTTATTATTGTAGAAACAATAATTTAGCAAAAATTTGTGTGATGAATAATTTGGTTATATAGCTGCATGTCTGCTTAGCATACATCTCAAACCGAAACATTCTAGATAGAAACATGGTTGATTTTACACCTACTAACGTTTTATATCCATTATGCAAACCTGGCAAATCATTATTTATATTTTGCTTTCATCACTGCATGTTTATCAATACATGACAACTTGAGTAATGACTCACGCAGTGATGCCCAAACATTTTTTTTTATTATTAGTACAAAGAGTTCTGTAACATTTTATGTTGACATTATTACGCTTAATAACGATTACAGATTTAAATTTGCTTATAAATATTGACAAGGAAAAATTTAATAAAAATTTCATTCCATATGCTAAAAATAGATTTTGTTAATAATACTCATAGGCTAAAAGATTACATTTAGTGGTATTTGAATTAAGAATAACTGGTTTGTTTTTCACATAAAACCAGAACCGGCACAGAGCTCATATGGCCGCACTGGGCGGCAGAATTTAGGGAAGACAAGATTTTTGGAATTTAGAGAACCACCAAGCAACAAAATTAAAGGATGAAATTATTTTTAGAATTTAGGGAAAGCACTGGGATCCAAAATTTAGGGGTGGCAAAAATTTAGGACTTAAAGGGAAGCTCTTGGTAGCAGAATTCAGAATCTGCAGAGACTCATCAGTCGATAAGATATCTAGCGCCAGCCATAGATAAGCCTTAAATTTTTGTGAGAATTTATTTATTCAGGATTCAGATATCCCTTAACCATGTGCAAGAATTAGACGTAAGTATAATAAAAATAATTAAACAATCAGGCTTAACTGTCTCGGTGTGCAATAGAAGCAAGACAAAATTTAGCGGAAGAACTTGTCTTTCATTGCCAGTTTTATGACACATAACTAATCATGTATAGCGGATGCTATTAAGTTAGGCTAAAAGTATACGTTACTGATTCCAAGGAATTCCAGACAATATAGCAGATTGTGCTGTTTCTTAGCTTCCTGATTTGATCTAGCTTAATTATTTTTTGCAGGCTGTTTTTATTACAGCAGTTTGATGAAAATTAAAGTTGCAACTTTCAATTATGTCGACAAGAGTTTCTAATACTGGACCTACAACAGGATCTAAAGCAAAAGCATGTTTCGACGTCCATCAAACAAAAAAGTGGAATTGCTGCAAAAAATGGATAAAGGTATATCCGTGTCAAAATTATGTGAAAAATATCGCATTAAAAGTAAACTATATATGACATAAGAAAACAGAAAAAGGATTTTTTAAAATTTTTTGAGGATTCCGACACCTTTGAGACCGAGAAAAATTACTCATTAATTGAATTATCATAAAAGTGAAGATCAAGACAGAATGATAATTGAATGGATCAGACAGCATCGTAGTGAGAGTGTTCCATTGACGGATCACATGCTAATAGGCAAGCTAAAATATTTCACTAAGAAATTAACTTTAAAACTGAGTGCAAATATTTGACGGGTTGGTTAATCACATTTAAAAATTGCAGTGGTATAAGGCAATGAAGAATTTCAGGTAAAAAAGCTTCAGCCGTTACTGAAGCTGCTGAACTATTTGCAGATGAATTCATTGAACTCATTAATAGATAAAAGTTATCTCCAGAACAAATTTACAACGCTGATGAAACTGGTCTTTTCTGGCAATATGTACCACAAAATACCTTTGCAACCTCTATAGAAAAGGCTCCAACTTGTGTCAAAGATTCCAAAGTGAGACTAACAATTTTTATTTATTGTCTATAAGATTGTCTTATCTCTATCTATTTTCAGATACATTATGGGAAAATATTTGGTAATTGTAAAATTATTATAATAAGTTAAAGAAATATCAAAACATAAAATTTTTGGCAACCCCCTTGGGGGTCAGAACCCACAGTTTAAGAAACTCTCAGGGTTCGTACGGTCCTTAAAAGTCCTTAATTTTTTCAAAAATGATTTTTGGTCCTCAAAAGTCCTTAATTTTGGCCAAAATGAATAAACGGTCCTTAATTTTGCTCATTTGACATTTCTTATCATTTCTAATGATTGCCATTCTAAGTGCGAATTACGATTTCTCATGAATATGGAATTAAAATTACACGGCTCTTAACCAATCTGTTGGCGGATTTGCGTTGCAAATGATAAAAAAAAAAAAAAAACCAATTAGCTACCCGAACGAAAGTATCGGTGTCTGATTGGCTATTCACCCAATCTTTCGAAACAGGTGTTATCCATAAATATAGGCAGATTGTGACGAAAGCGTGAAGCCGGAAGTTCTTAAGAGGCAAAAGTGATGATGAAGGTGCTCGAGAAAAAAAAGGGGGGGATTCTGAAAATATTTGTCAAAATTAGAGCAATCCCAACCTGGAAGGCCATAACCTTTCCGACGCCAATAGGAACGAGATGCCTGGAAAGTGCATTTTCAATAAACTGTGGCTTCATCAAGCTGATTACAAAAACTGGATATTGATGGATGGCAATCCTTAAATGTGGTCTTTGTCTGAAACAAATTGAAATTTCTAGAATGGGAGAGTCAGCACTGAAAATTCACATGAAAATTAAGTTTCGTTTCATCATTTCAATTTGTTTTTACACGGTTTTACTTAGCTTAATTTCTGTGTTTGTTTCAATTAAGCCATAAATTAATTTTTTATCACTTTCTACGGAGTTTATTCTCTTTCCCATACTATATGTATGGGATATCGGGATTATGAGTTTATTTCTACAGAGGGTCTGTTATCGATTTCGCGGGAAATCTGTTGGCTCCATTTCGATTTTAGGTCGCCAAGGGCAAATTCGGTAACGCTAGCCGAGAAAAAGTGAAGTTCGGAAATACGTTTTGAAACTCCAATAGACAATTAAGTATTTTATAAAAGGAATTTTTCAAAGAATGTTATTAAATTTTAATATTGCTCTTAAGAGATAACTTCACCAAGTTTTAGCGATAACCCCCCTCCCCCCCAAAAAAAAGTGTTGTTGAATGATGCATTATTTTTGCTAATGGCAATATGCAATTATTAGTTGAAAATAACTAATTAATTAAAAATTTTTTATATTTTTTTAAAGCTGAAAACAACTAATTGAAACTAATTTTCCTGAATTAACTAGACGCAAAATTAACTTTCATGAATTACTAAAGTTATTGGGTAGAAGTTTAACTGAAAATATACATTCCGTATTATATATATACAGTACAAAGTCCGAGGTCTGGACTCGTCAGGACTAACGGAGATAGTATACTGTTATATGAAGTCGTTGGTCGGGACTTCGGCGATCCCAGATTTGAGATTTTTCCGGATATTAGATCATTTTAAATCTACTAAGATGGCACGTAGAAATTATAAAATTGAAAATATGAAATCGTGATTTATGAAATAATGAAGCATTTATTATTTAAAGGGTATCAAAATTTACAAAGGAAAAGAGCTTAATATTTATATGTTTACTTTATTAAACATTTCTTTCAATGTGAGTTGTTTGATTTGTTTTCTCTGCTAATACTTTAGACTAATACTATAGACATATAATTTCTTGTTCAGTTATTGAAGTTCCATGTTCAAGTCCTGTAATTGCTGTGTCGAGAAATTCCGAACTAACTTGTCAATCGAAATTTTTTCGTCGTTTCAATAACCTCTCTGTTACTTTCTTCACTATCGGTAGCTGTATTTTCTGGATTTAGAACCATACTACAAATTTCGCCCTCTGTTAATTGATTGATGATTGGGCATTGTCATCGCAATGAAAAACTGCTGTTTAACTTCCCTAAATTCTGCCGCCTGGTGCAGCCATGCGAGCTCTGGCACTGGTTCTGGCTTTATGTGAATAACAAATCAGTTATTCTTAATTCAAATAGCACTGAATATAATGGTTTGTCCTATGAGTATCATTAACAAAATCTATTTTTAGCATAAGGAAAGAAATTTCTGCTAAATCTCCCTTTGTCAACATTTTAGCGCATTAAACTTAAATCTGTAATCGGATAATACTCTGTTATTTGGCGTCGCTGCATGAGTCATCACTCAAGTTGTCATCCGTTGATAAACATGCGGTGATGAAAGCAAAATTTACAAAAAAAAAAGAAGCTTAATATTTATTTGTTTACTTTATTAAACATTTCTTTCAATGCGCGCACGCGTAAAGCATACCTTACGCATAGCCGAAATTAAAAAATTGCAACCAGAAAACTATTTGATTTGTATTCGTGATATTTATAATGACGAGGAATTTGATTTAAATCATATCAAAGACGGAGTACATCGAGATTAAATACTACATTTAGTAAGGAATTATAAGCTGAATAAAATAAAAACATCTGCCCTGAAGATAACGATAGTGCTGACAGAACTTCCAGTTCATTGCGACCCCCCCCCCCCCCCCGCGCAGAACAGCATGAAATTGATAAACAGATTTCCGAACGGTTAGATAAACAAAGGATATGGCTTTATTCATTTTTTGTAGGTCTTTTTTTTTTTTTTTTTTTTTTTTATGGACATCGAAACATACTTTCGTTTTCTAGA